CCCCAAAACCCCAAAACCCCAAAACCCCAAAACCCCATACAAATCATGAATATTGAGTAAATTAGGAAAACAGACTATCCTGATTCTTCTTTAGCCTTATCTGATTCAATCTTAGCTCTGATTGTCTCCCAGTCTATCTGGACTTCGTTCATGTATTCCTTGAATCTTTCGTTATCTTCATCTTTCTTACAGTCTTCAAGATATTTCTGTCTGAATGCAAGAACTGTGTCGACATGAGTCTTGTACTGAATAGCTAAATCTAAAGCTCTGTCCCATCTGAATAGCTTTATGTTCATTTTAATAGCTCTGTAATAGAGTTTAGCCTGCAGTAATATCTGTTCAGCTTCAGTTATCTTTTTACAGTACAATGCTAAAGCAGAGTTTCTAGAAGCTTCACTTGGAAGCTCCTTGATGTAGTTAATAAATTGTACCTTATCAACTTCATCAATTGATGCGAGAGCAATCTCAGCAGTATCTAGCTCTCTGCAATAGAGACTCATAGCAGCTAGGCATGCCCAGAGAGGCTTATCATTGACAAATCTACAAAGTTTTATAGATCTATCAAAGTCAGCACTATCAATATGTTCATACATAATCTTAGCAAATGGAGGGACTGATAAGCATGCTAGTGTTCCATCTAACTGTCTGACAGAGACCATACTTCCAGTGAAACTGACTATCTGAGGGAGTTTCCCTACATCAGTAGCTGATCTTACTGATCTGGCTTGATTCATCAGATCTTTGTCAACATAGATAGCATTTGGATAGAACCAAGTTATCAATTTACCATCAGATAAACAAGAAAGCATATCATTATTATCATTCCACTGGAAGCTATCAACCATAGTCGCGATCTTGATAACATCTGGTTTGTGGACCATTGTCAGGAACATGTCTCTATTAGAATCGACAAAGCATAACTTTCTCTCATTAACCATCTCAGTCTGATTCAACTGAAGGCTCACGATCTCATTCGAATTCTCAATATTTGAATTCAATGGCTTGCCACTCATAACGTCAAAGAGCCTGATAAGCTTAGGGTTGTTCTTATCAAGAAGGGCTATAACATCTGAGCTGATAGATTCTACCTTCATTCCTTGGAATTTAGGAGAAGAGATATGCTTTCCTTCATAATCATAGACATAGATATCCTGAGAAGCATCAATCAAAACAACATATTTAGCACCTTGAACAACGGAATTAATAGGCTCCTTAACATCAATAATGTAAGGAGAGGAGAGATGACTTAGATTATACACAAATACTTGATGGGCTGTTGATACAATTAGATGATTATGCCTCAAGTTAAGATTAATCACCTTCTCGCTGAAGTCTAATTCTTCTGATATCTCATTGACATAATCATTAACAGTGATTTTATTATCTTCATCCAAATCTACTTCAATATTTCCCCATGTGAGATGTCTATCAATAATATTTCCAAAGACAACGTATCCATTACCTCCTGCTCCGGCTACTACATTCCCATATCTGTCCCAGGATAGTTTCATTAATGATCCACCTTCGTGCTTGTTGAATGAATAACTCCATCCAGATTTATCGCACAACCGAATCATTTCAAAAGATCCGACTGCAAAGAACTCTCCATTTGGTGACCACTTGACACTAGTGATGACATAATCATAGGCTCCGCTTGTGAATAATTGTCTGCCATATGAGTCCCAGACTCTGTACTTCCTGTCTTCTCCTCCAGAGACTATCAGGTTCGAAGATAAACTCCAGTCACAACAGAGGACGATTCCATCATGTGATTTCCATGAGGTTGGCTTCTTTCCAGGCTGAGTTGGAATCACAGTTAACTTATTCTCAGAAGCATATAAAATATTGTTATTGTCAGGACTCCAGGCAACTCAATAAATTGGCTTTGAAGAATTGACCAACTGTGACCTAAGATCTCCATTCCTCGCCCAGATTTTAACATGACCATCTTCTCCTGTAGAAGCAAGTGCTGCTCCTTCATAATTCCACTTAACCGAGACCACAGCTCCTTTGTGTGCTTTCTCCACTCTGCCTTCTATCTTCTTATTATGACTAGCAAACAATATAGATCCATCAGATCACCCCATGGCCAACAGTTCGCCTGCTCTTTTATTAGAAATGATCCAGTCAAAGTCGATCACAGGTACGTCAACCTCAAGTGCTTTTCCCTTGTTCTCTCCAGCAATATCCCAGATCTGGACGGTCATGTCATCACTGACTGAGTAGAGTTCGTTCTCTGAGTTCCAGCAAACAGCTGAGCAAATGTCTTCGTGGATTTTTCTTTCTTCACGTTTGAGTTTTAGTCTCATATTTAAATTAATAATTTCAAATTTTGTTCACAGGTGGGGTTTTGGGGTTTTGGGGTTTTGGGGTTTTGGGG